GGATTTTCCACTTCATTAGCATCAAAACATATTATATTCTTACTGATTTATCAGTTTAACAAAAAAGGCAGGAAAACCAAAGGAATATCTGCAAATGGTACTGATATCAACTACAAAACATGTTCCAAACTATGGAGGAATTTGGCCCATAGTTTGACTGAAAATTCTTGACCAGCTAGCATGAAAGCCTAAAAGCTGAGTGGGGATAAATGACATTTTTATAATCAGTCATCATCCTGTTTGATCTCTCAGGCATTTGATATTAACTGGCTGTTACTTCTTGAAACTTTCTCCTCCCTTGAGTTCTATGACACTCATCTCTTTGTTCTCTGGCTTCTTCAGTAGTGATTATTTCTTTGACCCTTTAATTATGGGCCTTCCCCAAGTCTCTGACCTTGGGTGACCCGTACTTCTCTACCTCTTCTGTTGAGTTCATCAACAGCAATGAATTCAGTACAATCTATCCAGCATCAGGAGGTCATAGTTTGTGGTGTAATCATTCCAATGCATGGTTGAGGAATACTAGAGAGAGCTCATGGGAGGTGAGGAGGCTGAGGAACTGGGAAGCTGGGACAGCTGGGACAGCTGGGGGGATTGGATGGTCTCTGAGGTTTCTTTCAACTCTAAATTTATGATCCTGTGATCCAGGGTGTTGGAAGAGGTAAGGATAGGGATGGAAGAGAAGGCAGAGAGACACAGTGAATTATTTAAGAGGAGGAAGAATGACCATAGATGGTCCATAGATGGTAATAACCAGGGTCTAGACTGAATGGGGGTAAACTTTAAAGCAGAGGTGATTGCTGAATGATGGTGGCAAAAGAGGAAGGAGTCTGAAAGTGGCAGTGGGGAATAAGGAATATGCCAACTTCTCCTTCTGGTCGTCTGTATCAAGAGGTGTGAGAGAAGAAGCAGTCAGCTTTGGAGACGATGCCAAGAGATCTGACATCTTCAGGGGAATGCCTGGTATCAGTGAGTACCAGAAGATTGAAGGAATGTGGGAAGAGACCTGCAGTGAAGGTGATTTTATTAGTAATAATACAGTAGAACACAGAATTTTCTTCGACGCATTCCTTCCTCTGCATGCCTGTTGCCAGCAGGCCCTTGGACTACTATGCTCTACAAAAGCTGGTATTCCTGCTTCCCATCTATCCTGCCTATCGCTACCTGGCTTTCAAGGCTATTAGAGCACCTGATTACTATGATGTAATTAATTAATTAACAACCTTTTTCTATGTAATTCTTGAAAGAATCATCTTATTTTTCTTGCTTTCCAGTCAACTGTTTCCTAAATTATATAACACTGTGGAAACTTGGGCAGTAGTTTTGAGTCACAGAAGTAACTTATGTGTGAGCTGATCCTAATAATAAACTATAAGGTGGAACGAGGATAGAGTGCCAGGACACTTACTAGCTGTGTAACCCTGGACAAGTTACTTAACTCCATTTGCCTCAGTTTGCTCATCTGTAAAATGAATTGGAGATGGAAATGAGAAACCAGTCCAGTATCTTTGCCAAGAAAACCCTAAATGGGGTCATAAATAATTGAACGTGACTGAGATGAGTGAACAACAGAAATGTACTTTATTTAAGTATATAAACTAAATTTATATACTTTAATCTCATTTGAGTCTTATCACAGTCTTGTGAGGTAAACACTACAGGTGTCATTATCCCCATTCTACGGATGAGGAAATGGGCTTAGAGAGTTCACATGACTGGCCCAGGGTCACACAACTAGCAAGTGACAGAGCCAGTATCTGATTCCTGGTTTCTGCTGTTACACCTTGTTGCTTCTTGATACATAAAATGGCCATCAAATGTAAAAGTCCATCAATGAAGACTGATATTAATAGTTCTTGTTTTAATACTAATGGTATACTTATTTAATTGGGGGTTCCTTTCTCTGGAAAGGACAGTTAACACATCACAACAGGGCTTGCAATAGTCTGGGAAAATGCAATATGCTTGGTTTCTCCTATGGTTCCCAAGGCCAATTGTATGTACTTTAGAAAAGTACTGAAATACCTTTATTATTTGCTATTTCCCCCCCACATTCTACTCATAGAATGGAGGTGACCCCGTGTTATTGAATGCTGTACCAGCAGAGCACATCCTGTCAAGTTGGAAAGATTTTGAGGATGTCTGGCAACAGAAGGCATGTTTTTTATCCAAAGACCAGTCCAGATAAGTGTCCTGAGGGTCACCCCCAGCATGAGAGCAGGGTAATGAATTTTTCAGCCATGGAAATTCATAAAGGCCAGCTCTTACAGCAAAGTGGGGTTACAATCTGCTATGGTGGAGGGAGTTCCCCTACTTAGGAAATCAAAGATCCTTGAAGTATTAAAACTTTATTTGCCACATAATGATGGCTAAGAACTTCTAAAAATTAAGTTGAGCAGTGTAAAAAATGGTATTATTTACTAATATGCTGCTGAACATTGCCTTAATAAGAGACATCATCTACCACAAAAATATTTAAAAACAAGTGATTATAGCATCTAGGTGGCACAGTGCACCTATAGTCAGGAGGATCTGAATTCAGATTCAGCCTCAGACACTAGCTGCGTGACCCTGGGCAAGTTACTTAATCTCTTTCTCATCTGCAAAATGGGGATAATAATAGCATCTACCTCCAGGAGTTGTTGTGAGGATAAAATGAGATGATGTTTTTGAAGCACTTTACAAACCTTAAAGCACTATATAAATGCTAACTATCATCACCATCATCATCATCATCAATCATCATTATTTAGTGTTTTTGGAGCACTTACCTTTTCAAAATGGAAGGGATACAACAAATTATTGACTCTTAACTAAGTTCAGACAGAAATGAGGAATTCTAGAAGGAACCATTTGTTCTAAAAAACTGACAATGTGATGGTAGATGAAAGGGGCCTTGGCAGATACAAGGTAGAGCAGAAGGTAGGAGAATGCATTTTATACACACCAACAAGTTTTCAATTAGTTTCAACTCTACAGGAAAAGAGATCTGAATGTCACTACAGATGGTTCAATTCTACTCAATGGGCAGCAATTGGGCAAAGAACTGACAGTCTGTTCCTGGAGTAGGGAAAAAGCCCATAAAGTATTTGTATTCAAAACACTGCATAGTAATGGAATATACCCGCCTCCAAAGCTATTCACCGTTGCAGTCACCCTCATAATTAAGGAAAACAGAGAAAGGAAGCGGGAGTGATCAAGATAATTGGATGGAATAAGAAGCTTTCTGCCTGGGCACTTTGGGACTGGTGGGTATATTTATAAATCCAAGTATCAGATACAATTACAGGGCTGGAGACTGTGTGGAGAGATTTGGGAATATATTTGGCACACAGTAGGTTCTGTATAAATGCCTATTCCCTCCCTTTCACTCCCTCCCCCGCTTTTACTTTCTTGAAGGGCATAGATATTTTTTTCAGGCAGCTAGGGGCATCATTTAATAAATTGGAAAAAGGCTATTTTCTATATGCAGGGGTTGGCGTGTGTGTGTGTGTGTGTGTGTGTGTGTGTGTGTGTTTTAGCATTGTAGTCCCTGATGACAGTCTGGGGAAGCCTATGGACCCTTCTTAGAATAAAATTTTAAAATACGTAACATAAAATATATAAGATTACAAATGAACCCAATTATGTTGAAATAATTGTACAATTTTTTCTCTATCCAAGCACCCTGAAATCTAACCTTTGGAAGTTCATGTAACCAAGATTAAGAAAAACAGAACTGGCATGTGAAGCCAGGATCTGATTTTAATTCCAAATCCATATTTCTTGACACTATATCATGTTGACTCTTTTTAAAAGAACTTCATGTAGGTAAAATGCCAAAAAATTTTTTTTATCAGAGATAATAAAAAAAAAAGTTAAGGACTATTATAGCAACCTAACTCAGAATTGGAGGATGGGACACTCATATTCCTATTTCGGGATGGAAACAAGCCTTTACTAAGCATCTACTATGTGCCTGTATTGTGTTAAGTACTTTACAAATATATCTCATTTGATCCTCATAACAACCTTGTGAGATAGGTGTTAGCTATTACCCCCATCTTACAGTTGAGGAAATTTAGATGAAGAGAGGTTAAGTGACTTGCCCAGGGTCACACAGCTAGTGTCAAGTGTCTGAGGCCGGATTTGAACTCAGATTCTCCTGACTCCAAGGCTGGAGCTCTATCCACTGTGCCATCTAGCTGCCCCCCAATGATCCTTTGAAATAATGAGAGATTTAGAGTCCATTCTAGTTGTCTAGAGGCAGTTGATAAGAGTACTAGGCCTGAAGTCAGGAAGATGGGAGTTCAAATCCAGCCTTAGACACTGTGTTACCCTGGGCAAGACTTGACTCTAGACAACTAGAATGAGCTCTAAATCTCTCCGTAGCCTTTATTTCAATTTCAAAGGATAATTGATTTGGAAGGGACTTTGAAAAGTCAGAGATCACCATTCCTTAATGCTTTCCCATCGGGAGGCATCCTGAGGTCAAGATTAGAGAGTCAATTGAAGCATTAGGAAGATATGGGTTCAAGTCCACCTCTGACACATACCACTGTTTCTGTGACCCTGAGAGTCATTTAATCAGTGTCCCGAGGCTTATCTGCCTTATCATTAACCAGTGTCCCAAGGCTTATTTGCATTATTAGAGGGAGTTTTCTCATCAGGAATTGAAACCACAGGTCTAGGGGAAAAACAAAACCAAACCAAAAAAACCCAAACTCCCCAAACAAAAAACCAATATTAACCCAGATGGATGAGAATCTAATCTGTCTATTGCATTCCTTTCACTAATTTGCCTTTGGCGGTAGCATAGGGAGCTGTGGCCAAAGAATTCATCATTTAGCTTCCTAATGAGTGTCACCTACTTAGCCAGGCTGGCCTTGGACAGCAGGCACAGTCTGTCTCCAGAATGGCACATGAAGCTTTTGGCAGAGTGAGAACAGATGGATGTTAAGATAGTTCAAATCCCCCATCATTATGACATCATACCTTTAGGTTAGGTTTGTGATGTTTCCTGAACTCCTTGCATAGAGTTTTCTCCAATGACAATATTGCATCTTTTTTTTGATCATCTTGCCACTGAAAGCCAGATATCTCTGGGCACTTCTTGGCTTCCTTGGCTCTCTATGCCTCTTTGGTGATGGGCTGGACAGGTGGACTGGAACCACATTGTACTTGTTGTACTTTAGCTGGTAGGCAACGTACAGTAATTGGAGTGCTTTTTATTTTTTTTAGTAAAAGAGTGACATAATCATTAAGATGATTTCTTGGCAGCACTACAGAAGATAGCTAGATTGAAGAGGGATTACATCAATGGCAAGAAGACCAGTTGGCAGGTTTGAATAATGATTTGTCTTGGGAGAGAGATGAAGTCTGAAGTAAAGTGGTTGCTACAAGATTGAAGAGGAGGACATTATAAGTAATAAAACATGGAAGAAGAAATAACTGAACTGGTAATTTTTTGGCTGTATGGGGTTAAGAAAAGAGAATAATAATAATAACAACTAGCATTTATATAGTACCTACTATATAGTACTATAGTACCTATATATATATATAGTACCTACTATTTATATGGTATATACTATGTATACAGCAAGGAGATCATGTCAGTCAATAAGTAAAGAAATTAACTCAGAATTCACTGGAAGGTCAAATGCTAAAACTGCCAAATACTTTGGCCACATAATAAGAAGACAAAGACTCACTGGAAAAAGACCCTGATATTGGGAAAGAGTGAAGGCAAAAGGAGAAGGGGGATGGCAGAGCATAAGATAGATGGGTAGTGTCATGGAAGCAACGAACATGAGCTTGGACAGACTTTGGGAGAAAGTATAGGAAAGAAGGGCCTGGGGTGCTATATAGTCCATGGGGTCATGAAGAGTTGGATATGACTAAACAACAACAGCTATGTCCCAGGCACCATGATAAATACTTTACAAATATCTCATTTAATACTCACAACTACCCTGGGAGCTACTATTATCTCCATTTTACAGATGAGAAGTTGAGGCAAACAGAGATTAATTGAATTGCCTAGGGTCATATAGCTAGTAAATGTCTGAGGACTTAGGTTTTCCTGACTCCAGGTCTAGCATTAGAATAAAGGTGACTCCATTGTTATGATCTGGGGTTCTAAGAGGGTAGAGGTGCTATTAAAAAGATAGAAAATTGAGAGGAAGGAGAAGACTTAGGGGTGAAGATGATAATTTCATTTTTGTACACATTAAATTGGATGTACCTGTAGAACACTTAGGTAGGGAAATCCAGCAGATAATTGGAAATACAAGACTAGAATTTGGGTGAGGGGTTGGGAATGGAGGTTCAGATATGAAGGGTCATGTATATAGAAGATATAATGGGAGGTATGAAAGTGGATAAGATCAAGGGAAAGGGTGTAGAGAGAGAAGATGACTGCAATGGTAACTTTTGGAACACCCACGTTTAAGGGACAGGAGGAGAAGGCAAGAAACAGAAAACAAGTTGTAATAGATTGGAGAGAAATGAGAGAGAAGAGAGAGAGAGAGAGAGAGAGAGAGAGAGAGAGAGAGAGAGAGAGAGAGAGAGAGAGAGAGAGAGAGAGAAGTCTCAGAAGTCTCAGAAGTCTAGGAAGTCTAGAGTATGTGTGTGTGTGTGTGTGTGTGTGTTTGTGTGTGCGCATGTGTATTGGGATGGTGGTGGTCAGTAGTGTCAAATGACACAGAGAGGTCAAGGAGGATGAGAATAGGAAAAAAGACCATTGGATCTGGTTAAAAGAAGGTCATCAGTGACCTTTCAGAGAGCCATTTCAGGAAGTATTCTACTTTCTATATCCTATTTGTAGTATACTTATCTTCAATTTGTAATGAGAGCACAGTTGTTGTATCTATATCTCTGTATCTCTCTATCTAACAACTGCGCTCTTATCCTAAATCCTGTGTGTATGTGTGTGTACACACATACACTCCCCCCACATATGCGTTGCAGAGAGTATGCAGTGTGTAGACAATATATCCATAAGAAGGCCTGAAAAATAGGAAACAGCCAAAACGGAGCTGAACATTAAAGATGCTCATTTTACTTACTTTTAAAAAAAATAATGCCAGTAAAAATAAGCAAAGGGAAATAAAAGAAAAAAGAAAGAAAAAATATAGAATTTGTGTCATAGTCAATCAAAAATAAAATCATCATAAGGCTACCCTCCCCCTCATATCTCTTGAATGAAGTTCATAAGGGTCAGATTGGCAAAGCCTAATTGGTGATAGGTATCTTCCACTTGCTTCACATTTATCCAACTAATTACCCTGTAGTAATTTTCATTAACTGTTGTTCAGCACCCTCTTTTGCACCCTACTATAGGAATGGGACATCAGAGGCCTGTGAACATGCATAGTCTTGGTGATAGCTCTTAACCAAGATAAGAATCTTCAGTTCTGAGTCATTTCTTAATTCACCAAGCCAAATTACCCAGGACTTAAGAGTAACTCAAACATTTAAAACAGAAGTCATAGAATGAACTTATAAATAAAAAGAAAACAGCTCTTCTCGAAGCAGTGTGGTGACAGAGTAGTTAGAGTGCTGGACCTTCATTCAGGAAGACCCGAGTTCAAATCCAGCCTCACTTACTGGGTATGATCTTGGGCGAGTCACTTAACTTTTGTCTGTCTCAGTTTCCTCTTCCACAAAATGGGGATAACAACAGCACTGATTTCCCAGGGTTGTTATGCATATAAAATATTTGTAAAGCACTTTTCAAACTTTAAAGCACAATATAAACATTGTGTTGTTGTGTCATTTCAGTTGTGTCTGACTCTTTGTGACCTCATTTGAGGTTTTTTTGACCAAGATACTGGAGTGGTTTGCCATTTCCTTCTCTAGCTCATTTTACAGATGAGGAAACTGAGGCAAACAGGGTTAAGTGATTTGCCCAGGGTCACATAGTAAGTGTCTGAGGTTGGGTTTGAATTAAGGTCCTCCTGACTCCAAACCTGGTGCTCTATCCACTGCACTACCTAGCTGCCCCTGTATAAACACTGGCTATTATTATTGTTAACTTCAAAAACATTCAAATATTTATCTTTTGGACTCTGATGGTTACACTTTGGTTTTAAAATATATTTGTTGATGGATTTGAATGGATTTTATACTTCCATTCTATAACCTGGAATTTATTAGACAATTACTCAGTATTTACAAGCTGCCTTATTCTTCAAAATAATACATATGCCATTTGAGAGTAGGGATTGTTTTTTTCTCCCTTTATATTTGTATCCTGACCACCTAGCAAAGTGCCTGGTAGGCAGGGTAGTAAGCAGGCACTTATTAAAAACTCACTGATCGATTGGCAAATTAAAGGAAAAAAACAAGCAACAACTTCTCCTGACTGGATGAATTACAAAACCAAAGTCTCATCATAATAACTGAAGTAGTCAAAAAGCATTATATCTTATACAGCTTTAATCTGCCTGGAACTGTTCCATGGGGCCAATCTCTGTTTTGTCCCAAAGTACCTTTCCCACTGCTACGAATCCATGGATTTGCCAGGGAGCTCAATGTGTGGATAAGATTAGATCCAGCACAAACATAAAAAATTAAACTTCACCTTCACAGATGTCACCTTTATTTAGAGTGGCTGCAGGGTTTTTGCTCACTCATTTCTTAGAGGCAGATCATTCTTTTACAGCAGCTTCTTCCTTAAGGGAACTTTGCTCTTATTGCAGACCATATCATCATTCTGACTAATTTTTGATGGGGTTATTATCTATCTTACTGTGAGCACAAGGGCAGAAGGGACATATACTATGGCAATACCTACACTTTTTAACTTGGGAAGTCGGGGAGGGTTTGAAGGCAGGGAGAAAGGTAGAAGGGGGTGGAATTTATTTGCTGGGTTGGCTGAGGTATCAATAAGTTTTGTGTGAGGACAGAATGGCAAGGAACTTGTATGGTAAAATGGATTGGGAGCCTGGGGGAGAAATAGAAGAGAGGAGCAGGAAAGTCATTGATGGCTAATTACCTTGCTCCCCTTCATATTCTCAATCTAGGCAAGCCCGTCGCCTTTCTCTTCTTCACACTGGACATCCCTGTTTCATCTCTAAGCTTTTGCACTGGTTGTCCCTCATGCTTGGATTGTACTTCCTCCTCACACCTTCCTCTTAAAATCCCCAGTTTTCTCCAAAAGCCTCTTTTAACCTAAAGATTTTCACGATTTTTGTTCCTCCTCTCCCCCAACAATCTCACCCTCCATGCTGCTAAGGCTTCTCTCAGATTACCTTTTATTTGTTTTTGTACAAGTTACAAATACAAAGTAACATATAGCTTTTTTTCTCTGATAGGTTGTACGATCCTTGAGATCAGGCACTATTTATTTCACTTCTGACTTCGTATCCCCCCAGAGTCAAGCCCGGTGCCCATCACATAGCTGTGCTTAATACATACTTATTTGATTGAATGAAATGGCAGCCAGGCTACAGGATAAATTCCTTCATTTACGTGTTTATTGGTGTGTGTGTGTGCGTGTGTGTGTGTGTGTGTGTGTGTGTGTGTGTGTGTGTGTGTGTGTGTATGTGTTTCTACCACTTTTTTTGCCTAAAGAGCACTTTGAAATAAATACCTTTCTTTTAAGATTCCTATGATTTCTCTTACCAAGAAAACCAAATGCTTGTTCACAAATATTGCTATGCCCGTTGAAGGTTCATTTTAAAATTCTTTCTCCCCACCTTATACAAAGATTCCACTTTGAAAAACACTGTTAAGAAAGTGTGCCTTTATACCAACTAATCCCCTTTCTTCTTGGAAATAGAAAATCAGCACCAAAAAATCCTGCATCATTATTAGCAGTAAGCAGGGGGCTGTTAGTCCCTGGTGCTAAAGCATTTTCTTTCACTTGAAATGAATTCTTCCAAAGCTCTGAAACACTCCATTCAAAAATCTCAGAGATGCCTAACTAGGCTTGCCTTTCAAAGAAAGGTCATTTGCTCTGAGGGATGCACCTTTAGGCTGTATTTCCAATCTAGCAGGATCAGATTGGCAGATACATTTTCTCATAGGAAAGATTCTGACAGAAAAACCAACTCTCTTTTTAGCAGTATGTGCTTAACCCAAACAGGAACAATATATAAATGACATCTCCCCTCCCATACTTACCCATACACACAATACTATTTCTCTGGCTTTGCTTATGAGGGGGATTGAGTTTATAAAGCTTTTAGAACTGGATAAAATTTCTGCTGTTATTGGTTTCAAATGCAGACGTTCAGCACGCCAAAGTCCCATTTCGACCTCGACTCATCCCTAAATTGCCTGCACTTGAGTTTCCTTGTCTTTCTTCTTAAACACCTGGACACATGCATGGGGAGGGAAACAATTACCCCTGGAATACTGATCCTGGAAACAAGCAGGAAAAGCTGGTGGTTACTTGTGCACAGACACAAAATAAGACATAGGTAGGTATATTTGAGGCAGGGTGGGAAAG